TTAACTTACAAATCATAACAACTACAACAACTAGTCAATTATGTTTTGAATTGTGTATGCCATAAGCTTGATTAGATAATACATAGTAAATTATTTTATTGTAATATATTACGATAATTACATCACATATTATTTCGCCGTTGTCCTTTAGATGTGTAGTGTTTGTGTCTATTTAATAGATTCAATACACTGTCTCATACACACAAGTAGCGGGGGGTAGCACGCCATTGGGTTGTTGCACTGAGTGCCAGCAGTCAGTTGCTTTGTGGAGTGCTCCGAGGTGTGACGTATACCCCGAAAGACTTGGTGTGATAGTGAGCCAGTGTTGAGTTGTGAGTATTATACTATAAAAGTTCTACAAGTGGCGACGAGTTAAAAGGTACGTATAAAAATTCAACTGTTGTTTCTAAAAACCAAGCCATACTTTGTTAGCTACTTAAAATGAGCTAAATATACAGTGAAAAATGAATGTTAATTATTTCATAAATAAGTAAAAATTACAGTATATTAAATAAAACAGTTATTTACAAGAAAGAACTATTTCAATATTTTTTTACATAAAGAAAAGAAGGTGAACAAATAAAAGATTCAATATTACTAAGAATTACTTCTGGGTTTGATAACTTTTGAATCATATATTCACTAAAGTATAAATTGAAGTTGAGCTACGTATTTTCGCTTCCTTAAGATTAAAATAGAAGGATTTATTATATATATTTAACTTGCAGTATATATATTAAAACGCCAGGGTACTTAATTATAGTAAAAAAAGTTTATGCAATTTCCACACTCGCATTGATTTCCATTAAATTGGAGGTACTGATTTCCATTAAATTGGAGATATTGATTTCCATTAAATTGGAGATATTGATTTCCATTAAATTGGAAATTAATTCCAAAATTGAGATATGGGTTTCCGTAAAATTGGAGATATTGATTTCCGTTAAATTGGAGATATAGATTTCCATTAAATTGGAGATAAAGATTTCCATTAAATTGGAGATATAGATTTCTATTTAACTGAAGATAGGGTGTTTAAACTGAATTTGTTTTCGGGTTTCCAACGATCCGTAATGTCAACTTTGTTACCGCCACCGGAAAAATTAGAGCTAGATGGAGATAGCACGTCATTAGGCTTACGATGGGAAGAATGGAAAAGATCCTTAAGAATTTATCTCGAAACAGCTGATTTACAATCTCCAATAAAAAAAGAAAGCAACATTGCTATTGTTAGGCGGAACCGGGCTTCAGGATATATTTTAAAACATGCCAGACACCAGCGCAGTGCAGGAAGAAGTAGATAGTTTTGAATTGGCTATAAAAAAGCTCGATAACTATATAGCGATATCGATAGTGAGCCAGTGAGTTGTAAATATTATACTATAAAAGTTCTACAAGATGCATAGTCATTATGGACTAAGATAGAACGACGATATACAAGTAAAAATGAATTTCGGTTCTTATCGTTCATCGTACGAAACAAAGCAGCAACATGCTGCATTTATATTAGTATTCACTGCGACAGTGTTCTTACCTAATTCAAGCAGTCATTTGTGCAGCTGCATGTTTTGTCACAAGAAGGAAGAATTTAAAAAAACCTGCTACATAATATGTTGTAAAATTTTACTAATAAAACATGTTCTATTTATTATTTTCAAACATTTTAGTATAAAAAGAGATATAAAAATATTTTATTCTTATAGGTATTAACTACATAGTTCATTCATATATATACTACATTATCACAAAAATAATAAATAATAAATCTCACGAAATATTATAACATTAATAAACAATATAATAAATTCAGTGCTATGTCAATTTGGCTTACAACGAAACAATAATAATTTTAAAAATATAAATTACACAAGTTTCTAATTAAGAAAAAGTTAATAAAATTATAAACATATTCAATATAAACCGCATACTCGATTTGCTGGCAGCGCCTTGTCTGAAAAAATAAATAGAATTACATTTAAATCCACACTCATTCTTAAACAATATTCTTTTACTTAAAAAAAAAATAACGTAACCTGATTACGATATGCCAAAAAGCTTTAGAGAATGAATATAATGTCACTAACTGGCCGTTTTTACCACAAATTAGATAATTTCATGCACCCTACAAATAATACACACAGGTCTTTCGCCCGACATATGACCATCTATTCGAAATTGCCGCAACCAAGTCTTACAGACTGATGCCACCACAAAATATTTTGCGGTACTCCAGCGTTGTGCTAATACCAGTAACGTAATGTATTCAGCAGTGGTACCTTGGATTCCAAGCGCTCGCTGTAAATTTCAAAGCATGGTAAAAACAGGGTTCTAATACTGATTTACCACGTGCTCGGTGACTACAGTAAACATCGTTAGGAAACCTGCATAACTGAGAAATTATAATATTTCGAAGACATCTGAAGGCCGCAAGCACGCACTGGAGCAGCGCGGCGCACTAATTGCTCCCTAACACTCTCTGCAGTTAGAAGGTCTGCGACCAACAGTGTGTCATATATATAGGCTATAACTTTATATGTTAACTTATATAGATATTGATTAATGTTCAATAAACGTGCGTAAAATGTTTCAATTTTACAACAGAAGATCCTTATTAGAGAGCAGTTTTTAAAATAGAAGACAGAACAAATTCATACCAGTCAGATTTTGAAAAAGTGTATATCCAGCAAAGTAATAAGGAAAGCTGATAAAGACGAAGGAACCAGATGCATACAAAATGCAGTGTCATAGGTTACTACTTTTTTTTTTAAACTGAACTGACAAACGAACTTATATTCCTCCCGATTCATGGCTGTATAGACCATATACCTTTGACATTTTTATCGATAACTATTTATAAATCTATATATCATAACTATCGCTCGGTGACAGCGACAGCTCGGAAACAGACTCGGATCCTAACCGCATATTGCATCAGGGCTAGCGGCCTTGTGTTGGTAAACATATACGAAACAACACGACCGTTACTATGGCAACTGTGGACCGTTATTACTGTAAGTTTTATGCACAAACTAATAAGCAAGTGCTACCGACCTGCAACCAACTTCAAATAAAGAAGGCTAAAGATCACTTTGATCTTTAGCCTTCTTTAAAGATGTCACTTCTGAGAACTAAGATGCCTCACATACTGTAATTATACTGACTTACTGTGCCCTTCAGACAGTACACAGCAGTACACGCACCACTATATTGTAAGAGGCTGGTATTTAACCAGACGGACAGCCAATCAGAAAAGTAGTCCTACCACCTAAAAATCTGCTCCTAGTCATAGTAAAAACAGAATAGTAACCTGTGCCACGCGAGACTTAAATGCCTACTGTTGCAGGGTTGTCACTGTCTTTTTGTTTAACAACTAATTCTCATTTAGTTTTATAAGTAGTTATAATATTTATAAACATTACATGAGTAGTGATCGGATAATCGGATGCATATTAACCTAAACCCTACCTTTTTGGCTAGGCTAAAACATATTTATTAAAATATGAATCCCCGGATTCAAAATAGTCTGTATCATAGTGAACAAACTTCTTCTATAGCATGTGGTATTTATTTTAAAAAAAACCGGGGGGATTACATAATTATTAATATGAGTATGTTGAGTGTAAGAGAAAAAGTATATATATATATATATATATATATATATATATATATATATATATATATATATATACACGAGTAAATCAACACTGAGCATATGGTGTCAGCTCAGATTTAATGTTTCAAATTAATTTGATCTGATGTGATATGACAATTAATGTACTTATGAGGTATATATCTATGTATATATATAGTAATATAAACCATTAATAAAAAGCTCATTTAAACAAACGCATATATTCATTTGTTTTACGAAAAAAAAACGAAAAAATACTGCTAGCAAAATTTGATTAAAATTCAGCAATCTCAAACAAAGGTGATTCCGTAGCGCGGCGGTGGGCGTACCCGACCCGGCCCGATCTTCACGACTTGGCAAGTGTCAATGTGTGCGTGCTGTGGCTCGTGCGTACGTGTTCGTACTGGTACGTGCCAGGCACGCACACATATTAGCGGCATTCGGTACATTTCTTAGAAGATAGCCTACTATTCTGTTTTTACTATGTCCTAGTAACAGTGCAGTCGAAATGCAAAACAGCAGGCCTACTCCCGACAGATTGTTGAGGTTTTGAATCAATTGTATTTGATTTAAATTCAAGTTTATAAAATACCCTTCACTTGATCGAAATCAAACCTTAATACACAATCCACGATTACAAAACAGGTACTTTGTTTATATCTTTTATGATTGATATTTTACATAGTCATAACTCAATGAAACAAACGGGGTACAAGTGGACTGTATTTACTTTATTTAGAGATGAGACTGATTTAACTAGTGACTGTATTTACTGAAGGCTTAATTGTATGCTATGACTTTGCTGGGATTGCCATCGCGTGCGTGGCATGAGGAAGCGACGGAGCGGCGGCTCTCATGACCGTCTATAACCACGCATCTTTCGTCCTTGTAAGAAAACTCACAGCGTGGATTTTTGAAAAAATGAGTTCGAAGAATGATTTTGTCTATGGCGGATCGCTATATTATATTATTACCTCATGTAAGAATTGAGCACTGTTGGGACCCCGACCCATCTATGCTTAATCTGATTGCAAGGTTACTCGGAAAATAAATAACATAAAACCTTTTACCAATTTTTGGAATAATTGATAAATTTTATATATATAATATTGATAAATTTTCAAAGTTAACCTAATGTAACCTAACTTTATTTTCAATAAATTTCAAAGGTAACCCAACTCTGTTTTTTACAACTTAATCTCACCTGACCTAACAATGTTTGATCAATAAAAGAAAATGTTCATTTCAACGCTTTATTATACAACCACCACCACCACCACCAAGATATACATTGACTTAACTAATCAGATACATTGACTTAACCTATTGATACACACACTTAACCTATTGACCAGCCATGAACAAGCAATTACAGACTCAGATTATACACACTCCATAACTTTTCCCATGCATGCGGTGGAATCTTTATGTATTCCTTCAACTGCACTTTAAACTCATACGTTATCGTTCTTTCTTCAATTGCTTTTCTGGCCATTGGTACTTTACAATACATATCTATTGGATAATTACTACAAGTATACAATATACACTTTTCTATATCACATCTATCCTTATATTTAACATCTGTTGACATTGGTAATCCTGATGCCAACAGTTTCCATTGTTCAAACTGGTTTTCCGTCAGCTTGCATTCATCCATAAAACACGCGTTTGTATGAAGTAATCCACTAAAGTTGAAACTTGAATTCGGTGTCAATCCTGTAAGTCTACAATAATTGAATTGACTTTCTACCAACGACGTTGCAAGCATTGTCTTACCCGTCGACGGTGGTCCGAAAAAGAATAGATTGTTTTTCTTTCCCGTTTTTCCCTCAAAGTGTTTTATTGTGTCTGTTGCAAACTTTTCCGCTTCAATGTGATTCATTTTCAGGATGTCCGTCAATATTCTATAAGTGTTATCGAGGTACTCGTCTGTAAATATAGATTGCTTCTCAAACGCCGCCTTTGCTCTCTCGAATCTTTGTTTTACCGATTCCTGAAATACCAAAATTCTTGCGATGTGGATGTAGTTTTTGATCCTTTCAGTATATTGCTTGGAACAGATAAATTCAATGCCTTGAGGCGTTCTCGTAAGCACTTGCATAGCTTCTGATTCTGTGAAAGCACCATTTTCGCATAAAAGTAAAATAATATCTGAATTTCTATCGTAAGAGTTGCTATTTTGTCCACAGTCAATGCTGTATTTACGCTTTTGCCTTCCATGTAAAATTTGCTGGTCTTCCCGTTGTATTTCAGCGACATTCCCATCTCGTTCTCGTACGTTATCGTCATTGGTTTGATCAACTGCATCCACCAGTCTTGACTGTTTCGCTTGAGATGGGCCGCCTTCATTTCCAGGTACTGTATTTCGCCCTTCGGTACATTCAGCCTCGTACATTTTTTTTGTCCATTTATTGATCCCGTCCATTCCACATGAATGACTGGCGCATTGACAAGTTTCAACAAGTTCGTCGCTGAGAATGTCCTGTACGACTTGACGACCATTGCCGGAATAAAGATACTTGCGTATACAAGCGAGACAGTTAATGCTTGTATTTTTGTAGGTTCCGTTTCGAATAATTCTCCCCAGTCTAGAGTTAAATCCCCACTGTCTATTATGACTGACGTATATAAGGTGCCAACGCCGTCTTCTGACTCCTTGATGGAAAGCGATGAGTTTATAAGGTCCGTTATAAATTGTTGACGTTTCACTTTCATTACTTGGGATATACGTACCGACTTGATGTACTCTTCTTCCCAGGCTTTCATCGTAATCTCCAAGTCTCTCGCAACTGCCTCCTCCGACGGAGTATCTTCTTGTTCGTCCATCTCTCCATCTGACTCGGTAGCAGCCATCGTCTGCAACGCCCCCAATCCCTTCAGGTCCAGCACATAACTCTTTATTTTCCCCTCCCTGAACTTGCTCCAGTCCCATATTCCCGTTTCGTCCCGTCCCTCCGGTGGTGGTGTCAGCGGTGATGATGTTCCTGGACTCTGCACTTGTTTCAAATAATGTCAAAATAGAGTTAGGTTACATTAGGTTAACTTTGAAAATTTATCAAAATAGTCAGGTTACATTAGATTAACTTTGAAAATTTATCAAAATAGAGTTAGGTTACATTAGGTTAACTTTGAAAATTTATCAAAATAGAGTTAGGTTACATTAGATTAACTTTGAAAATTTATCAAAATAGAGTTAGGTTACATTAGGTTAACTTTGAAAATTTATCAAAATAGAGTTAGGTTAGATTAGGTTAACTTTGAAAATTTATCAAAATAGAGTTAGGTTAGATTAGGTTAACTTGTGCATATTATGGATAGGTTAGGTTAGGTTAGGTTACACGATTCTACTACTAGGTTGATACATGATCATACATGTACAAACATGTATAAACATGATCAAACATGAATCAATATATGACTCACATCAAACAACACAACATAACAAAACACAACCAAACATACAACCCAAGAGTATCATCGCGATCTCAATCTAAGAATTGCACCAGATTCTTTATTTGTGCATAGAATAGAAGGGGCATTTTATCGTTTTGTGAAAATAATCTTAGTCTCTCATCACTCACCATACTAAACATAGCAGTACTATTTCGCGCTGGTATTGTCGGATATGATCAATGGCGCTGATAACGCTTGATCGTAACTCTCAACTCGGTCATACTTTTCTATTCGGATTACTTCGGGTAGGATATATTTAAAGTCTAATTCGAATCAAAAACGAAACCAAATTCAAATTGCTTTCGAAAGGAAGTCTGTTTTAGAATCGTAAAATGTCGCGAGTACAGAAGTATAAAAAATAATTTTTTTGAATCTAGATGTTACGACACAAATACGTCGCTTGCACATTAAACATAATGTGGTAAGATAAAGACAATGGCTAAAATTGACACGAATAGATTCATATGATATTATATCATATTATGTATAGAAGATACAGCGATAGAGCACTGCCCTTAATAATTAATGTGTAAGCTAATCAGATTCGATTATCAATAGCATGTCAGAATATTTTCAAGGAAGGATGTTAAGTCCGCCAACACGTATTCTTCCCCGCTTCAAAACCTGTATAGATCGACGATAGAAATCTCGCATTATAGATATTATCACATCAGACATCTATGATTGAGATCGCGAATCTAAGCAGGAATTTTCACTATATGAACTCAAAATAAACAATAAAGACGCTTTACGTGGTTGAGTAGAAACACGCTCTCACAAAATACCAGCATAAAATAGCAGCTAAAGGCTGTTTCGTTTCGTCCGGTGAGTATAGAGAACCAAAGACCTTTTTTACTGGAATCTTAGTCTTCAGGGGTGACGAAGCATCTGAATTTTAAGATGATGAGATAAATGTAGATGTCTATGAGTCACAGCTTCCACCTACCATCAGGTGGACTGTGTGCACGTTTGTCACTCTTATTCTATAAAGATAATGAAGCGCTGCGTAGTGCGTACATTGCAACCGACGCAATAACCGTACTCAACATTTTGACTTTCATTGACGCACACATCTTTCTTCTTTCTTCCTGTAAAACCATTTTGTTAGTTGTATATTATTTTAAATGTACATGTGTGAGTGCATGTCCTTACAATAATTTGAACGTAGTTTTGGCTTCTTCCGTCATTTGAAATGTACGGTGTCTTCAGTCTTTCTTTCTTGATTAGTCTGTTTATAAGAGAGGAAATATACAAAAAAAGCCATCACTCACCAATCATCTTAGGGTAGGGCAAATTTAATGTGTCCATTATATGAACGAACTCTTTCAAAGTTTTCGTCAGTCTTGGATTGTATTTCTTCTCCTCGCCCACGGTGGTCGCCGTCTGGCCTTTGTAATCGTGTGCTGGGTACAGAGTATAATGATCGGGTAGCGTAAAGATTTTGCTATGGACAGACTCGTAGAGCCGTTCGGAAGAGCCCTCTTGGAAGTCTGTTCTGCCGCAGCCACGTATGAGGAGTGTATCACCTGTGAACGCCATGCACTGAAACAATGAAACAAATCAAAATGATTTAACAAAAACAAAAAGTTTAAAAAATATATCATTATCATCTGTCTGTAAAAGTGTTGTTAGAAGTGAGGGTAGATAACTAATAAGCGTTGACATTTCCCGACTCGTTCAAGCAGCTTATCATACTGCGCAGACAACAATAGTTAAATTATTTTGTCCGTGCAGTTGGGGTCATAAATCATAGCTCGGCCTCAGCCCGGCTAGGGCGGTGAGCATGTTGCGCGGGCGCAACGCCATTATCGATAACAACAAATGAATCATCGAAGGCAGGTATACGGCGGCGCGGCGGTGCAGTCTTTATATTTATATTTATTTTTAATATAACTTGTTACATTCCAAACATTTGTACTTATAATTTTTTAATACATAGATACTTAATTAATATTTTATTTTAAATCATTATTATTCTTATTTTAATAAATACGTTGTTTTATCTATTTATTTTTATTTTTTACTAACCCACATAATAACAAAACTAAATACACTACCGATAACGCTTATCGACAACAATAATGCGCATCACTATGCTCGCCCCTAAGGCCAGTGAGTCGTTATGTCCGTCCTGGTAATTTCCTAAGTACAAATAAAGATGCTGTTGCAGCGAGGCTGCCCTATGTCGCATCGTAATGGGTGTTGCTGCTGGTTTGCATACTTCATTTATTTTGGCAAATTCCCTTCTATTTTTTATAGAAGTGGGGGCAAACGAGCCTGCACCTCCCCTGATGGTATGTTACTGCCGCCGCCCCTGAACAACTGCAACACCATGGGAATGCAGGTGCGTTTCTAGCCGTTCATATAGGAAGTAAGCCATTTTTACTCATCGCGATTGGCACGCGGATTAGGTACTAGACGTGTCACACTTTCGACTCGACTCGATAATCTAGTGATATTATATCTCAGATCTCCGATAAATTTCGGTCTGTCTATATATAGATTATATATACATTCCGTCCGTCTAATACATAGATTATACACTAAAGACCGACAAAAGTGTCTCAAAGGTGCGAGTATTCTCGTACTGCGATTGGTATTCCTCCTAACAAGCATATTGTTAATGACAACTTCCTTCAATAACACTCCAATGGGAGAAGCTAATATCCCAGCTTGGTACATGCTGGTAAAGAAAAAGAATAACAATGTCCTTCTTCATCTTCATTAGCCCGTAAATCATACCACCGTCTACAACTGTACATGGGCACTTTGATGTTGTAGAGGGAGTTTTTCTTAATCGTCACACTTGGGAGGCGAATTGCCACATGGCACCAGACGCATCTTTCCTTGTCTCTGTCCCTGTCCATGCTTCGATATTTTACCTCTTTTTATAGCGCCATCTATCGGAAACCCATAAGATTTTACAGGCGTCCTATAGTCTCCTCATATTACTCCCACGGTACGAAATCGTATGATTCCACAGCACACCCAAGAATGTCTTTACAAGTTATTAATTTTTCAACATTGACTTAATAAAATTTATTACCACATTTATCAAATAATCCTTTGATAAATTGAAGAGATAAGCATGATAAATAGAATTTATTTTCGATTAGGTAGGAAATGCACTTAACAAGGGAATATTACCGATATTTTGTATGTGATATGTATCTAACGTCGCGATTATCTGTAGAATACAAAGCATTTGTGTCCCTTTATTATTATTTTCCATAGCATTGGAGTGACAAACGAGCACACAGTCCACCTGATGGTACGTGAATGCTGTGGCCCATAGACTTCCATATTTATCTTCAATTAAGAATTAAAGGAAATAGAATAAATGGGGCCCTGCACTCTATTGTGAAGAGTCAAAATGTATCGAAAAAGGCACGTATGGCAATTCACATTGCTGTGTTGGTCCCTACTTTAACGTATGGTAGTGAAAGTTGGATGTGGCAGAAGAAGCACGAAAGTAGAATGAACGCAGTAGAAATGCAGTCGTTAAGGAGTGGGTTAGGGCTGAATCTGAATGACAGGGTGAGAAATTATGTGATAAGAGAAGAGTGTGGTTTGCAAGATGATGTTGTGACCAGGATTAAGAAAGGAATGCTTCGGTGGTTTGGTCATGTGGAAAGAATGAATGAGGAAAGAATGACAAAAAAAATTTATGTTGCAGAAGTGAAAGGGACGTCCAAGGCGAAAATTTATCGACCAAATTGGCGATTTATCGGAAAACGGGCCAAATTAGGAGTATCCTTAACCGACGAGCATGTATGTGTAGGTATATGGATGTGAAGGAGGCGAGAGAGGTGCGTCAGGATCGTGCCAAATGGAAGTCTGTAGTTTCTGCCTACCCCTCTGGGTGACAGGCGTGAGTGTTTATGTATATTATGTAAGAATCAAAATGCAAATGCGTTGTCACCCCTGAGGACTAAGATGGAATGCTTCGATTCCAGTATAAAGTATTCTGTGAGAGAGTGGTCCTGCCCTGGACGAGCCGACCCATTCATTCGTACTACAACTATTATGTAACTGCAGCATGGCTCTACTACGTAAAATCATGCAGGATTATTCTGTAAAACTTTTCCAAGTTAGACAAATTTGTCACATTTGATAAATAATCAGCATTGAATTGTGTTGACATACAGACGAGATATAAATTAATTTTTATCCCTCAAATTCTGTTTAGACTATAGGTTAAGGACCATAGACTATAAAATCATTATGATTGCCGTGTTTTGGGTTGTAAGAGAATACATTATCCCATTTCGTCACGTGGCAGTATCAATGGACGTTTAGAGTCTGATGAAGAGGAATTTATTCACTGTATTGACCCATATTGATCTGGAAATAATGTTGCCATGTTCATATGTAACTTATAAACAAAAAATCATTTCATCTTAGATCTTAGTCCTCAGAAGTGACTATCTGTGGCTTTTTTTGCTTAAAGGTGGCAGCAGGTGTACATGGAATGCAGTAGCTGCTTACCATCTCACTTCCAGTTTTTTTTTAATAGAATAGGGTGACAAACGAGCACACAGTCTACCTGATGGTAACTGGTTGCTGTGGCCCAGAGATATCTACATCTATCCTCGATTACGAATCAAAATGCAAATGCGTTGTCACCCATGAGGACCAAGATGGAATGCCTCGTTTCCAGTAAAAAGGGTCTCCGGTTATCTTCACTCACCATACGAAACACAGCAGCATTAGGCTACTATTTTACACTGGTATTCTTTGAGAGTGTGTTCCTTCCCTTGGTCGAGCCGACCCGTAATGGGATTTTGTGACAAATGGGATATTTACTTATTATGTAACCTTCATTACATACCTTATAATAGGGGATATAATAAGGGACAGATTTAATTTAATGTCTTATGGCATTCTCTACCAGTCAACCCTGGATGATTTGTGAAAACGCCTAAAACAACTAGTGACCTAATTAAGAAATACTCCGAGAAATTGAATCTGGACGTTAATTCCATAATACCTTCATGTGTCAAAACCACCGAAGTTGTATGGGTTACCAAAAATACACAAAACGAACGCTCCATTAGGTCTAATAGTGAGTCAGATTGATTCACCAACTTACAGACTGGCTCAATACTTAGCTAAAATATTATCACCACTCAGAGGACTCACAAGAGCACACACTAAGGATTCATACCATTTTGTCAGTGAGATAAAAGACCTACATCTTACTGACAATGAAACCATGGTGAGTTTTGATGTTCAGTCTCTATTTACATGCCTACCTGTTGAAGACTGCATCTCAATTATAACTAGGAAACTAGAGAAAAATAATATGCCAGCAGAATATGCAGTATTACATCTGGCTATCTATTGTGAAAAGCGGAGTTTTACAAGCAAGTAGATGGTGTTGTTGATGGGCTCACCTGTATCTCCCATTGTCGCCGATATATTCATGGAAGACTTTGAGGAGAAAGCCCTCCTTACTGCACCTGTTACACCAAGGATCTACAAGCGGTACGTAGACGATACTTTCACAATTTTACCATCAGACAAAGTAACTGCATTTTTAGAACATATTAATTCCATAAACTCTAAAATTCAATTTACTATGGAGTTAATGGCAAATACTGTGGCCATGGTAGGAAAAGGGGAGATCTCCCGCCGGGCAAGGTGTTCTGCCCGGGGAGCGGCCGACACTCCGTGTGATAGTTCGGAGATGTTCTATATATACTGTTTATTATTCGGAATTCCGATAGCGTGATTTAGGCTTCGGTGTGTTTCGCTTGCGGCGCGACGACAGCGCCGCTACAATTCCTTAAGGCCGTGTAGTGGCGGTTGAGAATATCCACTACCCCATATCTTCCCGTGGGTGTCGTAAGAGGCGACAGAGGGACACAAAAAGGAGATGGGCAGCAGCATCTTCCTAATAACAACAATAACATAATAAAAAACTGCGGTTGCCAACCCGCTCGCCAAGTGTGGCAACTATGGCAAATATCCCCCCCAAGAGCAACGACACAAATAAACGGCCCCCAGTCCCCGGCGGCCCCGCTATTCCTGGCTACGGTGGCGACCATGGTAACGGCGGGGCAGGGAGTGCTAAGAATCTCCGGTGGAGGTTCGGTTGCCACCTACGACGACTCGACCTGGCAACGTATAACGCACGCACCCTGAGGACTGACGAGAAGATACCGGAGCTGGAAGAAGAGGTAGACAAGTTGCGCTGGCATATTATTGGATTATCTGAGGTCCGAAGAGAGGGGGAGGACACGGTAATCCTCGAGTCCGGCAACTTGTTCTATCACCGGGAGGGCGACCATCTGTCCCAAGGAGGTGTCTGATTTATCGTCCACAAGTCTCTCGTCAACAACGTTGTAAAGATTGGGAGTGTGTCTACGAGGGTCGCGTACCTGATACTCAGAATCACCAAACGGTATTCGCTGAAGGTCATACAGGTCTACGCACCTACCTCGGCACATCCCGATGAGGAGGTGGAGGAAATGTATGAGGATATTTCTAGAGCCATGCATTCCTCCAAAACCCACTACACAGTGTTGATGGGAGACTTC